AATTCACGAAAATGAGCTAATCATAGTTTCACAGTCGTAAACTATAGTTTACGGTCCGTAAACTGGATCGTAAAGTACAGTTAAGGTTTCGTCAAAGGTCAACATGTTCAAAAAATTTTTTTTACAATAGCCCCAAAACTATGTGAGGTATAAAGGTAAAACTTTTACAGTTTATAAATTTTTTATTGCTCAACAGATAGAAAGTATCACTTGATAAAAATATACTTGGAAAAAATATTAATTGAGAAAAATTAGTGCTCTTAGTGAAAACCATCATTGAAGAAACGAAATATGTTTATCAATGAAGGGCAAGTTGGACTTGGCTAGCCTCTGGAAAGTTGTTTTCCCTGTTTATTTTGTCCAAATGTTAAGTTGAAAGTGAAAGTATATTGCAAATGGCGGATAATAGGGGTCTTGTCGTTATACATGTCATGCTTCCAATAACAGCCTTTCAGAGACCATTCACGTCCAACTTGCCCTTCAATGATAAACATATGTTATTTCTGCAATGATAGTTTTCACAAAAAGGACAGAATTAAGCAGGTGCATTTTTTAAAAATATGCGCATTTTCTGATACAATTTTTCTCAAATAAAAATCTTTTTAAAAATATTTGTTATCAAGTGACTTTCAATCAATGATATATTTATAAACTGTAAACGCTTTGACCTTATACCACACATAGTTTTGGAGCTTTTTCAAAAATAATCTTTTAGACATGTTGACCTTTGACGAAACCATAAATAAAGTTTCAAGATTTGTAAACTATGGTTAACAACTCTTACCTATAGTTAACGATCAGATCTGATAAATATAGTTTCACGATTTGTAAAACTATGATTAACAATTCTTAACTATAGTTCACGATTGTAAATTATAGTTTACAGGCGTGAATCTTTGTTTATCAACAAAATCTAAATTTAGATTAGCATTCGTACAGTTCGTAATCTATAGTTTACAGTCGATAAACCTAGTTTATCAACTGTGAAACTATGTTTTGCTCATTTTTGTGAATTTGGCGTGCCATTATGGCACGCCAAATTCACAAAAATGAGATAATCATAGTTTCAGCGATAAACCTAGTTTACGGACTGTAAACTATAGTTAACAACGTTAATCTATATTTTACATCTGTAAACCATAGTTAACGCGATAATCTATGTTTCACAACCGTAAACCATACTTAACACCGAAAACAATCATTTGCGATTGCAAAACATAGATTATCTGATAAATACAGTTTCACGATTTGTAAACTATAGTTTACAAACCGTTAACTATAGTTAACGATCTGATAAATATAGTTTTACGATTTGTGAAACTATGATTAACAACTCTTAACTATAGTTTACGATTGTAAACTATAGTTTACAAACGTGAATCTATGTTTATCAACAAAATCTATTGTTAACGCTTTATTCAGACAGATAAACTTAGATTAGCATTCGTAAACTATAGTTAACGACCGTTAAATATAGTTTTACAGATGAAAACTATACTTAACGAATCGTTAACTATAGTTTACGGTTTGTAAACTATAGTTTACAGTCGATAAACGTAGTTTATCAATTGTGAAACTAGGTTTATCTCATTTTTGTGAATTTGGCGTGCCATATGCCATAGCAAAATATAGTTTATCTAATATAGTTTCATGATTTGTAAATTATACTTTACAGCCCTGTCTTGTTTTATATTGTTTTTACTTCGATTTTTTGCCAGTGACACACATGCATTGCTGCTCGTCATCGGTGCTGCGAAAATTTGAAGCTATCAGACCACGTGTAAAGAATTATAAACTATATTTAACAACTCTTAACTATAATTTACGAGTGTGAATTATAGTTAACGATGATAACTATGATTGGCAAATGTGAATCATAGTTTATCTCTCGAAACTATAGTTAGTGACCAATAAGTATAGTTTTATACATGTACATCTGTTTTAAAATATAGTTTATAAGTCTTAATGATAGTTAACTACATGTGTAGTTTACAACCGAATCTATAATTACCAAATGTAAAACAAAGGTTATCTGATAAACATAGTTTCACGATTTGTGAAACTATGATCAACAAATCTTAAGTATAGTTCACGAATGTAAATTATAGTTTACAAATGTGAATCTGTGTTTATAGTTTATCAAATGTAAAAACTTTATGTGCTACCATTGCAAAACATCACAATCACAATATCATGCTAATAACCATGGTATATCAAAGACTAGTTTGAAAGAAATTCTTTCTTCTAAACATGCATTTCTTTTGTACTATTAAGCTTAATATGGAGTACAAATTTCAACTATTTACAAGTCTTTACAAAAAAGTTAATTAAATATAATAATTATTAAGATGCATGAAATGAATTGTTGCAAGAACAGAATTAAATCAAAGATACTCAAAACAGTAGACATATTGAGAACTTCACATAGGTAATTTGATTCAAGATTGCAAAATGATAAACCCGGTTTATTTTTACCCAAGATGGGCCCGCTTTGTACATTGATATGTAAACATTGATTCTTCGTTGTTTTCATTTTCATTTTTTTTCTTTTCAGTCAATTTGAAAGATATTTATTCATTACACAAGAAACAAGAATATGAATATTCCAAAGAATTCTCGGACTCTACTTGGAAAACAGCCAGGTTTGATCATCCCCGGCATAGTTTATATCATCTTCTTTAGCTAAGGGTCTGCAAAGAAAAAGATAATCATTATAAAAATTAAATAAATATATCTTTATTTTATTTTTACTTCTTGGGGGAAATTTCTTTAAATGCCATTTACTTTTGTATATAAGCTGTATATGTATAAATGCTTATCTAACTTGTCACCTAATGCCACAGAATCAAATCTTTTAGGCATAGGAACATGCTAAAAAATTTGCATCTGCACATTTAATATTATATAGTCAATTACTGCAATTATTATAGCTTGTAATGAAGCGCACGACAGATCGAAATGAAAGTAGAACAATACAACATGATGCCCCTTTCGTCAAAGTCAATTGTCGCCAAACTTGATCACATTACCAATTCTAGAAGAAATAAAATCAAAAGCACAAAAGAAAACAGAGAAGATCATCACGTTTCACAAAAAGGATACATTGATCATCAAAGTTAGTAGGCTAGAAAGAGAATTTGCTTTTATTGAAAAACATAACGATTTTGAATTAAACGTGCTTTAAGCCTTTATTTCATGGTTTAATGGTCATGCGACCTAGGATTGACATGTACCTTTATCCGAATATATTTTCCCAACAAAAGAGGGGAAAATTTAATATAAGAAAAAGCAAGTTTTCGTAAATACAACAAACATTTTTAAATGAATTTAAATATTAGCACCGGTAATCTGCAATGAACACAACATACATTTAAAAAATACCAACTGTGTTTCAAAGATTGTTCTTTCAACCACAGGAGTCCGCGTATCCATCAATTTTACCGAAATTTTCAGTAAAAAAAAATTCGTAATGCACGTGTTATTATTTTTTTTAATTAACTGAAAATTGCGTGTTATTTTTTTTCTTTACTGAAAATTTCGATAAAATTGATAGGTACGCGATCTCCTTTGTTTCAACAAAGCAATGAAAACAACACGATTGTTTCTTATTTTTTCAGCCAGGATCTTGCTAGTGGACATCAATGGATTTCTTCATGATTCAGCTATGGTAGACGGTATTGCTGAGGCTATGAACGATTTCTTCTCTGTGGCCTGTAACATTGGAGGGCCGTCCAGAATGCCTTTGTTTGGAATAGTAGCCTTTTTGTCTTACCCAGAGGTAATAGACCAAACAAAATAATTTTAAAAAATAATGTTTAATTTCCAACAAAACAAAAAAAGTCATTGTATTGATATTGAAATCTTACATAATAAAAAAAAAAACATCTTCAGAATCATCATCATCATCATAAAAAAAAGAGTTTTATGTTTAAAAATAGAAAACATAGAAGCAAATTAATAATTTTATGATAAAGCCTGATTCTTTGACTTCTTGTAGTTATTAGGCATGAAATTGTCCATCAAATTCAAAACACCACAGCACACTTTTTTGCTTATTGCAGGATGTCTGAAATTCCTATGCTCATATTTAAATAATATTATGAAATTTTTACAAGAAGTTTAAATACAGTAATCAAGTTTTGATTAAAACGAACTTAACTTAAACTGTTAGTTTGAAGAGCCACAAGAAAATTTCATAATCCTGGAGTATTGATATAAAAACAATTATTTTTACATGCAATTGATATTTCAGTTTTAAATGTTTCTCTTATCTCTTATCCAAAAAAGGCACTGGCGTTCATGTTAACAGTGTGTAAATTTTCATTTCTCCCAATAAAATCAAATTTCAGATAAGAAGCTTCCGCAGTTATTATTTTTCAAGCATATTTTGACAATAAATTGGCTTGAGATATGATTATTCTTCTCACCCAGGATTACAACATTTATTCATATTAGATGTCTATTTACGTCTTCACTGGTGCGCCTAATTTCCATGGTTCATGACAAAGTACTTCGCATTAGCATGATATAATGCGGCTTAAATCTGACAAGGTTCGTGCGAATCCAAATGTGTTTTGCCTCTTTTATAGATTTTGTTACCGCTGTCGCATGTAAAGAGTAATTATGCAAGAATACAAAGCGCGATAAAGGACTTACAATCCTCTTTGAATGGCAGAAATATGGCGTCTGAGACGGAAGGCACTGTCACAAGAGCAATTGAAGAGGCTTGCAAGCAGTTTAAAAGACAAATGTTGCAGAATAGTCTTCAGGTAGCACATGCAATCGCACAACTCCCATAAATTCTCTCTTTAATTAGCTTTCAAGTTAAGTATATTTTATGTGTTAGTCCTCAGGTTAGTGAAATCAGTTTAGTACATTTTCAAATTTTAAAAAAATCGTACACTCTCTATTTATTGATTAATTGCGAAAAAAAATCTTACATAAAGAGTATAAAAAATAATTTTAAATCAAATCAACTACATAAAGCATGATCTATTAAGTATCGTGGAAAATATTGACATGGATCAACTACCGTGTACGCTCAAACACAATTTCGTACATCTCAGGGAAAGTGATTACAAATTTTTTATTGTCTGATTACTCATAAAAGTTTTTTTTATCTACCAGAATTATACAGTGTACCGGGAGTTCTTTTTCGTAATTGACAATCCTCATTGAAACACTTGTACATGTATTAGGAACATGTCGAACTTTATTTTTATGCAGAAAACTCGCACAAAAACATTGACAGGAAAGAATAAACAAAGATGGAAGCTCAGTAACACTTCCGTAATCACAATGGATTGCAGCATCACCTGGCTTAAAAAATCAATGTTGAGGGAAACAATGGGGATTGAACTACTAGAAATACAAGTAGAGCAATTCATTTCCTTCTACACTATTTTGGAAAAATCTTTTTGAACATAACACACTTTAAAAAAATGTTTTGAATAGACCAATCCATTGACTGGAATTTTTTCTTGGGATTCTTTCACTCATTTCCTACAATGTCCTGGAAACCACATTATATGAAATCTTTTGTCAAAAAAGGGTGTAAATATCTTACAAATGTTTGAATTGTTAATTTATTTAGCCATAGTTTTCCAACTGAAATCCAGACTGAAGGCAGTAGAGCTTTTGGTATATTGATGGCATATTAATTAAGCCTTCTGCTTTTATATAGGTATTCGAAAATTTGGGGATAAAGATTGAACAGGGCCTATGACCAGTATCTTGATAAATGATTCATTTGTTACAATGTTGTTAAAAGAAAGCCTTTGATGTAGGAAATGGTCGTTGTATAAACAAAGCACGAATACATCATTACCCTTGTAATAAAGGTTGGTTTAATAACTTAGGAAGACTAATTTGTCCTGATCAAATAGATGACGCTCTTCGGAGAGTCTTGAGTGCGATGTTACTGGTCAAGGGGGTGGGTGATTAGCAGATTATTGATTCGTAATTAACCTAGTTATACATCGATCGCTTCTGGCAGCGGTAGGTTGTTGAGTGTTGCTAAATGTGTTCTGGTAAATGCTTTAGATATGAATAAAGCAAAAGTTTATTCCAAAATTATTTGCACTTTTTTCTTTTTTCTCAGTATTTTAAATCAATTCATATAAATTTTTTAGATGTGTGTCATCTAAAAACAGCAACTCTAAAAACAAGATGTGTTTGTGAAACACTGATGCCCCCGTATGGCAACATAGCGAAGGTTAACCTTTCTCAAATGCAGATCAAATATGTTGGTACCTAAAGTAAGGCCTTTTCACAAGAAATACAATTGTTAAATATAAAACCCTAGCACCACCTGTTCAAGGGTTTTGACCAAGGTTTACATTTTAAAAGGTAGGACAAACTCTGGGGTCAAGGTCAAAGGGTCGAGGTTGCTGGTTTCTAAAGAAAGGCCTTGTATCAAAGATTACATATGGGAAGTATGAAAGCGCTGGCCTTTACCGTTCAAAAGTTAAGGTCAATGTTAAAGTTTGTAAAAAGTAAGACAAACTCCGAGGTCAAGGTCAAAGGATCAAGGTTCTTGATTCCAAGGAAAGGTCTTGTCACAAGGATTACATATGTGAAACATTAAAGCTCTAGCCCCTACTGTTCAAAAGTTATGGCCAAGGTTAAAGTTTGTAAAAAGTAGGTCAAACTCCAAGGTCAAAGGGTCAAAATTGTTGATATCCAATGAAAGGTCTTCTCACAAGGATAACATATTTCAAGTATGAAAGCCCTAGCCCTCACCGTTCAAAAGTTATGGCCAAGGTTAAAGTTTTTTAGTTAGTTCGGAAATCTCCAAGGTCAAGATCAAAAGGTCAAAGTTGTTGGTTTCAAATGAAAGGTCTTGCCAAAAAAGAATTGATATTTGAAATATGAAATTCCTAGTATCTACCGTTTAAAAATTAGGGCCAAAAGAATAGTTTGGAATTTTTGTGTAAAAATGGTTCAGACTCCAAGGTCAAGGTCAAAGGGTCAAAGTTCTTGGTACCCAATAAAGCGTCGTTTCACAGGGATTACATATATGAAGTATGAAAGCCCTAGCATTTACCGTTCAAAATTTATAGCCAAGGTTAAAATTTTTTCTTAAGTGCAGAAATATCCAAGGTCAAGGTCAAAAGGTCAAAATTGTTGGTAACCAACAAAAAATATTTATGTCAAGTTTAAATGTCCTGTTATTTACTGTTCAATAGATATGGCCAAAGTAAAAGTTCAAAATTTTTGTGTAAAAGTGGGCCAAACTCCAAGGTCAAGGTCAAATTTGGTGGTACCCAAAGAAAGGTCTTGTCACAGGAAATACACAATGTGAAATATGAATGCCATAGCTCCGCTAAATCAAAAGGTATGGGCAAGGTTAAAGTTTTTGCGGACATTCATACAAACAGACAGACAGAGAGACAGATGGACGGACACGACAAAAAGTATATACCCCCGAAACTTCGTTTACGGGGGCATAAAAACTTTGGAATGTTTTAAAAAGTCCCTGCAATTTATAACTGATGCTTACTTTCTTACTTTCATCATGCATTTTATTTTTTTGAATTAAAATGATTAAATGTTAGTGAAAAGACCAACTTGAACTATAATGATTAAATATGTTAGTGAAAAGACCAAAGTATCATGTATTTAAACATTATATTTATCCATAATTACTTGACTTGTCTGAATTAAGCATTCGCTTTAATTTACTTTATCTCCCATGTCCTTGTGTGAAGATTCGAGGAGTTCTCCAGCAAGTCGAGATCATCCTTCTCACAACAAGACCACCTAGAAAGATGCAACAGGAGATAGAAGAGGCACTGGACAAAAGTGATCTCACTAACTTAAAGGCAAGAACTTGTAACAAAAATTATCCTTTGCAGTGCAATGTCAACCCTGATGAACTTTTAAAACAAAATTCTGAAGTATTTCTATATACTCACCAGAATAACTTCAATTTATGAGCTATAATATATACATCTTCAAGAAACTTAATTATGAGTATTGTACATTAACATGTATATCAGAAGATTGGGACTATTTCCAATTCAACTTGCATAAATGTATGCAAGTCTTTTTGATCAGGGGATTCTTAGTCTTCTTAGGCACTTGATTCCATCCTAAAATTTCACTGTTCCGTGTGTCATGCCCCTTTACGGATTTGTATTGTTTTTACAGATTTTCTTTAGTTCGATCGCAATTCCTTATCTTCACCTTAAATTGTAGAATATTGTAATGATTAAGAAATATTGAAAAGTCATTCGGTGCGGTTTTTGAAACATTTTTTTTTTCATTTTTAAGTTAAAAAGGAACTTCATGGCTCCACATTTATGATTATCAATGAAAAGTGAAGATTTATAATGAACATTGATCGACGTCAAAAATCCTACAAACAAAACAAATCTGTTAACAGGGCATAAACACGAACCTCCATGAAATTTAAAAAGATGGGATCAGGTTCCTAGGAGGAGTAAACATCCCCTGTTTAGCGGTCAAACCCGCCTTTAGTCCTATGAATTGAACGTCAAGTACTCAGAACAATACATAGGCAAATTCAGTATAAAACAAAGGCCTAACAATTGATATAAAGCAAGTCAGCAAAAATATAACTCAATGAAAGATTGTATTTGCTAAAGGTCATCTTAACAAAATACCGACTTTAAACTAGTGAATTTAAATCTCTGCGACACCAACTTATTTGTGGAAAATATGCCTGTTTTAAAACTGATCGTACCCTGGGCATGCTCTTGAGAAGCGAATAGGTTGGGACCCTTACAAGATTCAACATTTTGTGTAAAATTTTCCAAAACAATGCTTATATATTGCATATGTATGATATATAAAAGTTTCTTCACCACATTGTAGCCTTTACGGAAGCTCAGTCGGTAAAGCACTCGTTCCATGGGTTCGAACCACGACCATGACTTACTTAATCAGGGAAAAAGGTAGCAACTGTTCTTTCGCCAAGCGTTCGTTACGTTGAAGTGAAAGAAACGGGTCTTTCTGGTGCGACCTTATAAACAGAGGCCCCGTGGCACGGCAGGCATTTGCATAACAAAGAACCCTCACTGATCTTGGCCTGAGTGCCGAGTAAAGTTCTATATTTAAAACATTCATTGGTACATTGTGACTCTCTTTACGAGTTAAAGATTCTCGAATGGGACGTAAAGCAATCACATCGTAAACAATATTATAAAGTACATACAGTATAGTATACATGCATTATAATAACAGTATATCACCATTATTTTTATTCATATATTCATTTTTTAGGAAGCAAGTGAACTGCTAGGTATTTACTGCAGTTGTCATAAAATTGGTCTATCTGTCAAATTCATATGGCAGTGAAAAGACTGCTTTTTTGTCAGTTTGTATTCCAAGAAACATCACATCCTATTTCTACATAATATATTTTTGTGTGTTTTACTCAGGCTCACTGGTTGCTTTCCTGGCTAATTGAAGCATTTTGAAATCACCAAACTTAAAACAAGAATTGTAACAAAGGAAAATGAGATCCGTGTACACGAAGCAACCTTGAAAGAGGGTGTGTTTAGAAAAAAAAATGTCGCAGTATATCAAACATAGATATCTTTCTAATAGCCAAGTTTATTTGGTTCACTCGTTTAGAGTGGACTTGAAACCATTAGCTTGCAAAGATGCATTATTTATCATGATGACCTTTAATAGGGTGCAGTGGCGCGCCGGTTTATATATCAAAGAATTAATGTTCATATTTTTTTCACGGAGATTCTCTGGTAATAATACCTGTATAAACAATCTTCATTATCTTGCTATCACCTGTGTGTTATAATTCATACTAGTTTCAGCTTTTCGAATTGATGCTATCCTCATTTGGTAATTGATTTAAATTACCGAGTCTTCTTTTCAATTAAGCGTTTATCTCAATTTGAATGTTAATATAATCAATTTGATTTAGCTTCCCAAACTCAGCATATGCATGGAGAACTTTTTTTCTTTTCAATTAGATATCTTGATTAGACAATTATCGCAACCTATGTTATTTGGGTTTACGTCACCGATTTGCATATTCGAGAATTTTTCCAAGATGCGCCAATCATCATTTTGCAAGTTGATGATTCAGACTGAAAAAATAATTTTTTGAATACCTGGTAAATGAAGCAAGGAAACAGTAACCAAAGAATCTGTACAATTTGTAAATACTTGTAGAGGGTGCAGTTGGTGATCGTTGATTCGTGGTCTACAGATCTTGGGGATAGTCAAAGCAGTACGGTTTCCTGTAACAGCCCAGCGAGTGGACTAATAGATGTACTTCATGTAGATGGAGGTTGTATCATCGTAATACATGTATAATCTTCCAATCTAAGACCCCCTCTCTTTCATACAACTATATTATCTCATTCAAGCTAGTAAAATAAGTCATGTTTGCAATGTCATTGAAAAGCTTATCTTTTCATTGTAGAGAGCCAAAGTCTGCACAACTTTTTCAATGCTTGGCTTCTAGATTTCAACACAGACAGCGAACATTTACACTTAATATTGCCCGGGGAATCATTAAGTGGTTTGTGGACATTATTCTATGAAGTCAATGAATTTTCCTTTATTTACCCACATAATATACTGATATAAATACATGTGTATATATTTAATATATTATAAAGAATGTATTTTTTGAACTCATGTAAAGTCATTGATATCTCAAATGGAATAACATGTCAGATACACTGAGTTTATTTAGTACTATACTCCACAAAATAAAAAATCAAAGATATTTAAATTTAAATCAATTAACAGAAAATTCATGTAGCCCAATTTATTCATGTTGACCGTGAAAGATATTTGCAAATCATTTCAATACTGACAATTGAAACATTAAATTAAACATTTACTTTTTTAAGAATCTTAAGGATATTCGGTCATCAGCCAGGAAGGATAGCTCCAAAAATTAATATTTAATTTGAAATGGATCAAAATAAAGCTTGAAAATGAAATTTTTTCTTGCAACAATTTTCATTTTATTCATCTTTATAAGATTCAAGGGTTTTGGAAGTTTTAGAAAAGGTCTTATAAAAGTTGACATTTGTACCCTATAAAAGGAGAAAAAATACATATAGTTTTAGAGAAATAGGATTTTCTTGAATCCAGCCTTAGATACCAATGCTTATTAGCATGATATGAAATAAGAAGTGATTTGTGGTGTCTTGCAATGATAGAAAAAGTCTTTTACACTATGTATTATAGAATACATAACGGAAAAAGAAGACAAAAATACCAAATAAGTATAAAAATTGACAATTTCTCTGAATGCCTGGATATACCTATCGTTTTTTAACCTTGAATATATTTGTTGATCAATTTGCAATTAAAAAATACATTGCTGATATCCCAATTCGCTTTTTCTGCAAAACTATTAGAGATTTGACAGTTTTCCTTTTATAATATGATTAACTTTAATCTTTAACTTTAAAGAAATACAGTGGATAAATTTACACAACTTTGTGAATTAAGAGATACTTTTGTGAGTATTTTCGATTACTTAACTGCTAATTTTATAAACCTGAGGATCGGACTACCTTAATTTCAAAATTTCATCGGGAGTGAGACTAGAATATCTTATTTATCTATTAACTATTTATTTATCGATAAGGGATTATGTTTTAAACATATTACTTAATGTTTCATTATGTACATTGTCTCTATTTTATGTGATAATATACTTGTATCTGTGTTATGTCCCCAGTGGGACCATGATTGGAAATAAATTCTATTCTATTCTATTCTATTCTATACCATTGATTTTGAAAAATACAGCTGTTATTATCGTATGAGCATCTATAGTTGATGATCTTTGCAAGGACTCCAAAAATGGCGTTTAATGAACATAAAACCGAGACCTGAACAGTAATTAAAGCCCGAGGAAGTAATGAGCGATTAATCATTCAAAGTTGATGATATTCATATAATCACGACCACGCTTTTGTTTCTTTTGTCATTCAAAACACGAGTTTTTGCGTCCGCATTTCGGACTATGTTACATCGTTTACGTAGCACAAATGCCGTACGCTTCTATCTCTGTCGATTTATTACTGGTGTTTGAGAGCTGGACAGCCACATCAATCACTCCTAGTGTTCCAATACCTGGCTGGTTTCAATTTCCAATAGGGTTAATAACGTCCGCTTTTCAAACTTTGATAAAATAAAACCATCGTCATCATTTAACTGGATTTTCTCATCGCAGCTAATACCTGAAGGTCATACATATATCTCTAGTATATATCTGTTTTTAATTTCAATAGATTTTTGTCAGTGTATACAATTTAGTTAACAATATATGTCTGATTATTAAAACATGTATATTTCTAATTTAGAGAGTGAAAATATCACCATTAGATGTGATCTACAAGAAAGAATGCTGAATCCTGCCCAACTGCCATACTATGAACAATTTGTAAGGCTATATTTTGAACAACATACGTAAGGTTTAAAATAATGCTTTGTAACATATGGGATTGTGAATACAATTTAATCAAAGTTCAGTACATTGTATTTTTAATTTTTTTTCAAAACATCTGTTAAATTTTTATAGACAGTACATTCGGAATCAACCAGCATGAAAACATTTCCAACCCAAAGCAAAGCCTCTGGTATGTGCATACCAATACATAGAATAGCCATCACTGATATGATACCGCTACAGAATGTTTGTGAATCCATAGTTTTTGGAGTGGTAGGTCATTTACATTGATATCAAGTCATAAAATCTGGCTAAAGTGATAACAATTGACAAAAAACTTAATAATGACAATTTTCGTTAGCCTTTGATACTTCAAGCAACAAGCTGCTGGAAACTAGAATGGGAAGAGTTGGAGAAAAATCAACAACAGTTCAAAGCCCTGTGCTACATTTTAATGGAAAAGGTACTCTGTTAATCCCATCCATTGATGTATGATATGTCCCATTCTAACAACCAATGATGTATGATGTGTCTCATTCTTACTTTTTTGGGGGCTGTTGTACCTTCAATTGATTTGAGTTGTATATAAGTACATTCTAAAAGTCATACGTAAACGACTGTCATTTTCTATCATCTCTAAAGCATAAGAAAAATTTACTCATTTGTACAGTGTAATATTAATGTTTCAAAGAATTTTAAACGGTATAAAATTCTACCTTCATTGTTTAGACGGGATAATTAATTTCCCCTTTGCGATTTGGCACTGATTGGAGAAAATATAGACAAAAAATATTACAAAAGTAAGAGTTCTCCTATTTTTTTTTAAAAGGTTCCATTTCATTTAAAAAAGAATCAATATAGTGATAGATCAGTAATATATACGTAGAGATTTTTTAAATTGATTTTTTTAATTTGAAACGCTTCGTTAAAAAGATTTCATGAAGTGATTGCATTAAAACTAGATAAGAGAAATGGCAAGCTTTATCCTCTTCTTTGTGAGTGATACTTGGAATACTATTAAATGATAATCTGGTCAGACAAACTTAGGTCATTGACCTTAACGTGAAAGATTGTAAAGCTACCATATTTAACAACTAAAAAGTCATTAAAAGCCCTATTTTCTGTTTTATTATATTTTAAAATATATTTTTGGTCTTTTTTTCTGTCAAAAAGAAATGAAAATCACTAACATGATCTGTCGAAATGCGCAGATGGTGCATTAGAATTGGTACCGCATAAGATTACCCTTATAAAAACGTATTGATTTTTTTCTTTAAGAAATCTGCATTCTTATTTTATAAAAAAAAAATATTTAGACTAATTTATAAAAAAAAAAAAAAGGAAAATAATAAGAATGCAACCAGATCCTGTAATATTGTAATCATTATATAAATATCCATAAAAGGTTGGTTCAAAGCAAGCAACCTTTGTTTTCCACTTACTCATTTTTCTATAAAATTATTTATAACTTTTTCTTTGAAAAAAAAAAGGCGAAAATAATATTGCTGATGTAAACCAAATAAAAGTTTTTAAAAATATTTATTGATATTAGTTGAATCGGATTACTTTATAAAAGGTGGAGGAATTATCTTTATCAGTCATAAACATTGAATACATTAAACACATCATAAGAATTAAATGGTGAAGATAACAATGTTCGATACCTCCCCCCAAAAAATCGCCCGCGTGATAGAACATCTGCTATATAGTAAAGAGTAAATTATTACATTGTGGGTTCGAATCCCACTTTAGAACGTGGAGACCGGTCCTTTGGATGAGATCGTATAAACCGAGGTCCCAGTAGATGCTTGCACGAAAAAGATCCCTTACTGCTCAATGGGTCTGAGTGCCTAGTATAGGTCAAATCTTGGCAGATCTCCACTGGCAAATGGTGACGTCTCCATATGAGTGCAAAATTCTCGGTAAACAACCCACAAAAAGCCAATTAAGCAAAAAATCCACAAAACAAATACAAATGTGTGAAAAAGACACAAAACACAGACCAATTGAAATTCCAGGGATGGGATCAGGTGCCTAGGAGGAGTAAACGAGTAATTGTTTTTTTTCAGGAAATGGCTCTGGTCGGACAAGTAAAGTCACCAAATCCTTGTATTAGTGGAAACAATAGAACGATTAAAAACCTACAGACTCCGGAAGAGAAACCTTGTGGCTGGTACTTGTTTCTGCCAGCTCCAAATGGGACTCTACTGGTAAAGGGTATTGCAGCCAAAGAGTTACTCCTTCCATACACTGGGACCTCAACAATGGATGACATTTCAGATGATGCTTTAGAGGACATGAGAGCAAGCTTTGAAAAGGTGTCGATTGTGGTTGGGGGCTTTCAACCCTGAATTTAATTTTCCCTCCTTTATAGAAAATAAGTTTTTTCTCTTTCAAATTATTATGAGAGTATTTCATTCGAAATATGACATATATTGATAATAATCTCTTCATTACAGAAAAAGAAATTATTTTTTTTATCTTGCATTTTAATTTCAGCTGCCAGTTCTGGATAATTTCAACCCTCTAAATAGACCCTCTGGGCTGTACGAATGTTTAAAGACGAAATATGGTCGACAGGAAGACAAAAATACGAAGCACAAGTCCAGAATTGACGATGATGTAAGATATATCTATTTCTAATATTAAGAGAATATAACTATAAACGTCTTCTTATGATAATTTAAAAAAATTCGATGAAAAATACTGGTTATGAGGTAGGGGCTTTATAAACTTAGAGAAACTCGATTGAGACTCGTCGATAGAAAACACAAAAATCTTATCCAACAACAGTACTTTTGACTTTTTGTTTACATGCTCGATATGATAATATGTAGTCCGATTTTAGTAAAACTTAGCATACCAAATAAAGGTATGTAGTCTGTTCATTGTGGTTTTTTTCCCACATTAATTTCGATAATAATTTTGCTGTAGTTTTTAGAACTTGAATATAGAAGATGTAAAGATTTACAACTCGGTAGAATTAAAAATACAACATCCAGGTTTAACTTAATCATTAAAAGCACAAACCATTATGTCATCTAATTCGAATTCTCGAGAGGGACGTTAATCAATATACAACCAATCAATCAATCAATCGAAGGTCGCCAACAACTTAATTTAAATATAACTTTTTTTATTGTATTGAAATGATTCTATGTTTGGAATGAACATTTTTTTTATTACTTAATATAGTTGTTTTTTTTATACAATATATAAATTTTATATAAATGAATTTAAAATAAAAACGAATAGTTTACATCTACGGCAAGTTTTCCACTTCAAAATACTCTAGTTATTATGACCCAAATTATCTATATGACAATTTCTAGGATCTAAGATTTCTTCGATTAGCCATGTTATCCTGTTTTTGTTTTTTTATGGGGGAGGGCGGGGGGTGTAAACTTTATATTATAAGCCACTTACAATAATTTTGCCTTGACAATTTGGTTAGAATAGCAAAAGGTATCGTATAAGTAGAAATTTTAGCGAGACGTAAATTTGTCCTTCAAAATCGGTGTTTTATTTTTAGCGAAAAGTAATTTTATTGATTTTAAATTGCTCACTTAAGAAGCTATTACAACTAAAACGCAATTAATTTTTAGCGATATTGAATTTTAGCGATCTCAGCGCTCTGGCTAATAATGCCAAAATTGAATCCTAGCTAACAATTCTGCTTATACGACAAACAAAAAGAGTCACACTATACAATGTATGTACAGAGAGTTTAATGGGGATCGTGGGGATGGAAGACTTTTTTTTTAAGATAATGATTTTATTTCATATTTTGCCGTGTGGTAGAAAATAATTTAGGATTTTTTTTTTTCAGATGTATACTATTTTAAAATTGCTTGTTTTTCAATCCAACTCTAGTTAAATATAAAGAATCTACAAATAAGCCCTATCCATTTCATGTGACCTTTAAAATAAAAAAAAAGTCAAAACTTTAATCACCTTTTGAAATCTTAAAAGCTCTTCCAACTTTTTAGTGAGAATAGTTTTTACCTAAACAAAAAATAAATAATTCTCTTCTTCATTAATTACTTCTTCATCTGTTCATTATCATCTTTGATCACAAGACCTTAAATCCCACGCCATGCGAAATAGGATTACTAGATATTAAAAGTCATTAATAATATATATGTCGAGTAAGACAAAAAGGAATCATTATTGCTTGAAATCAAAAGTATCTAGTATTTTGTAGGGATTTTCTCTTCGTTGTTTTTGGTAGATAAGTATTTCTCCATCCAAGCAAACCTGTCCTGGAGCTACTTTAAGAATAGACAACACAGGACGACGAAGTTCAGCAGCGAAAGGAAACACAAATAGAAAACCATCACCTCTTCCCTTTAAAGTCGGTCATCTAAATTCACTTATTGAATTTCCACATGAACTTTGAAGGTAAAATTAAGAATTTATTATTGATGGAAACAGTATATATACTATTTAGTGTAAAAAGATACAAATGGAAGAAAAAAATATCTAAATGATTGCCCTTTGAACTCTTGTTAAAAAATGTAAATAATTGAGAGGAAAATAAAATAGGATTCATATTTACATGCTAAGTCGTTAAAAGTTTTTCTGGATTAACAAGAATCCAAACACCATACCCAGAATATTACAAAATGATTCCCGTTTATTTTGTGCTTTAGAATGTAAATATATCAGATCAAAAAACAAAACAAACCGACCAACAACAAAGAAACAAACAAAAGCAAAAACAAAACAAAACAAAAACACACACAGATCAAACAAACAAAGACAAATGTACTTACAACAACAAAAAATGACAATTTGAGCAAAACAACCCTTTTTTGAATGATCTGTTGTTTGTTTAAACATAAGGAGGCTGGGGAGTCAACGAATAAACCAGATAATAACTACATGTATCTTTTTAAATTTGATATCCTTAGCTGTCAACCATCATTTTGAAAAGAAAAAAGATCATACTTTTTAGTTTTAAATTTCATCACTTTTGTATATCGATGCTCTTTCCCTGAAGGAGATCAATAAAGTCTGAAAATGGCTACAATCACCCAGCCCTCATAAGCCCAAAAAGAAATTTTAACAGCTTAAATGAAAATCTTCTTTGCGTCAATGGCTTTAAGGAATGATTATGTTTTGAGTACTGTATAGCACAATTATATCGCCACACATTATTTTTGCGAGGTATATGTAGATATTCGGAATTTATAAGAGAGATTTATTTGTTGCGCAATGTGGTTTCTTTTGTAAATACTCACTTGTAATCACTTTCAACTTTCTTTTTCCCGTATTTTACGGCTCTATTTGAATTATGTAGAAAATAAAGTATTTTCATGAAAAGCAGTCCCGATACCTATTCTAGACTAAATTTGACACTGTTTTAAAGAAGAGGCCATGAACATACAAATTACCATTTTCTGAAGGACTGTAGGCAATCTTGATACATTTTCTGTCTGATATGGAAAAAAAACTCCCATATTAATATCATGATTGTTTTTCTTAATTTTCCATTAGAAATGACAGTTTAAGAGGCCGTGGGGGTCGCAGCCATTTTTAGACTATAATGATCTCCTTGAAGCTCTATATGAAGATAAACAAAAATTGTCAAATGTTAAAACTAAAATGTGTGAAATTTTTCTTTGCCAAATGATAGTTGACAGCTTAAGATATCATGTGTAAAAAAATAAGTTAAATATGATGGTTAATTTTGTTGACCCACAGCCTCCTTAATATAGATTTTTCATCTCGTGTACTTACAAATTATGCCCCGAAACACCTTATTTGACCAAGCTAAAGTTATAAAGCATCATTTAAGGAATTTATTTCTCAATTGTAAAGTTATAAAGCATCATTTAAGGAATTTATTTCTCAATTGTAAAGTTATAAAGCATCATTTAAGGAATTTATTTCTCAATTGTAAAGTTATAAAACATCATTTAAGGAATTTATTTCTCAATTGTAAAATTTTTCAGGAGCAGACAGACTCGCGTTATAAAGCGAAATTAAGATTCTCGCGAATAAAAAGTGATTTACAATATGTACTAATTTACTATAGAAGCCGAAAGTTACACATTTTATTAGATATATGAACTTGTACTAAAAAGACAGGTTTTAATTTCTCTGATATATTACACGTGTATAATTTTGTTATGATGTTAAAGAACAATGTCTTGCATATTAAGGAATCACCTTATTCATATGAATGAATAATTTCTTGGTAACTTTTTGAACAGTATTGAATTCAGAATTTGTTTAAGATATATTGATTTCAGCATATGATATATTATATATAAGCATATGTTTTTCATCTTATGTATTAATTAAATAGAGATTTCTCTATTATCCCTCGGCTTTCATATTCAAAAATAAGCCAGACACCGGAGGTGGAATCGCGTTTGATTTCTTTTTCATAAAATATTCAAAGATAGTCTAAACAATGGGGGACAGTAGTCGTCTGAAGTTTGAAATGTATCATATTGAAAAGATATTATCACTTCATGTCACGCCACTTTAAATAATACATTATATACTGTCTAAAACCACTTTTAATCAGAACAAATAAAAGATTGCTCAAAGTATTAAGTCAGACAAATTTATTCCAAAATAACTTATGAAAAGTTTAACTGGTGTGATATGCGTGTTTATTTCTATCTTTCATTTTAAATGTTAGAATGGAAAAGATCTTTTAACCAATTCTCCAGAATTGAGATTTTGTAGAAACTGTATCTGGTTTGTCATAATAAGTCTGTAAAAAGGTCCGTCCATTTCTCATGAAATAAGGCATTTTTCCGAATCGAAACATTCCTCTTTTAGAAGGAATGGGCTGCTCTTCTGAATTGTTGTCCAGGAGAGAATCCTTCAAACCACCAGTAATAAATCTGTCCGCATTAAAATTTGCCCTTTGTTCCTCGTCAATTAATTCGGGAATATAATCTTGTCCATGCAATGCATCCCCCATTTTATTGACAAAAACATCGTCCATACTTGGCGAATGTCTCACTTGAGATTTACCGATCCGGAAAAATGTACTATATGGTCTTTTTTGCGGGAGGAATTTCTCTGATGTATCATAATAACTCGGTCTTCGATCATCATATACTGGTATGGCAGATACGTTCATGACCAGGAGTACAATTCCTACACACCAGAATCGAAAAACTACCATCATTATTTATCTGAAAGGAAATCAATTTGCTTGCATTAAAGTCCTCAATTATTTTGCAACTGAAAGCAATAAATATCTTGATGAAAATGAATAGAAACTTCACAAACTGGAGAACCTATAGAGATTACTAAATCGCAAGGGATAGGAAAGAGCTGATTTGGTTAAAATTTGTCATATTCCACATGTCCATTGCAGATGTTTTCATAAATGATTTTATAACTATAGATTCCTTATTTTTCGCGAGTACTTATTATGACAAAATGCTTCTTTGACGTCAAATCGCAAAACACAAAAATTCGTGAGTGGACGGTTGATCGAGAGAATTTTCATTGATTTCAGCAACATAAAAATAAAGAAGCGAGTAGTTTTATTTCGCGAGCAGTGCCTCTCGCGAAATTACACGATAAATAATTTTTCTCACATATTCAGGAATCTGCAGTAATTGTTTTAAATCGAGCAATTTGTCGCCCAGAATTCTTATATGCCCCGACCAAAATTTTTCAATTGTAATTTTTAGGAAAAAAAGGATAAATTTGTATTTTATTTACTGTATACTTATATTTACTGTCATCCTATTATTAATGCAACGAAGGCCAAATGGATTTGTATTATTTAAAGTAGGTTTAATTTGTATTTATAGAAATTTAAACTAATTAATTCCTTAACTAGAAATAAAATTACTTGCCAATTGGCAAACAATTTCCCAATACTCCTGCACCCCAGAAAAGCTAAAGAACATTGAACAACTTGAATGAATTTTACAAATATAAATGTATCAAAAATCATATACTTTTTTCAAAAGTGATATTCATTGAATAACTTACTTTGTAATTGAAGTTATTGTCGTATCCAATATTATCTCGCACAGATTTTTATAAAACTTTTAAAGGCAGTATTCACTCCTTCAGTTTACTTAACGTTTGTTGCGTCACTGGCGTAACAATTTTTTTAAGTAACACGCAAAACTTAAAGAGTAGGAACCTCTCGGCACTACTGGTGATGCTGATTGCTAGATGATTATATTGTCTCGCGACAAATTTAATTGTTTGATATAAACATTAATATGACATTTATCTTGGAGAATGAAATATGATCCGAACGTAATCATATGATGTATACGCTGCTTCTATCAATCAAATTGGCCGCCGCTAATCCGTTTTATGAAAGTGTAGAGAGAGTTAAACATATTATAAGCTTTTGATGCCATTTCGGCATGAGTTTCTGAAAAGAAATATCCAAAACTGCAAAAAAATTGTGCTTTTGGAAGAATGATTAAAGATTGTTATAAAGAATTTTTAAAAAAAATTGGGGAGTATCAAAAATCTAATGTTACGAATCTTAATACATGTAGTCGGATAGTCTAATCTGTAGACGAAAAGACATTATATATAAACATTGATGGTTCATAACTATAAATTTGAAGGAATAAATTTGGACAATTCCCTGTTTATTTTTCATGCACATTGATGTGTGGTTCCTGACAAATTGTAATCGTTAGCATAAGGAGCACATGCAGAATAATATACAAGAAAAATGAAGTAAGTGTTTATCTAAAAGGTATTGCAACTTATTATTCGATTTTTTTTATCAAGCATATTAATATTATAATCTCAAAGTATACAAACACGAATTAAATGAATTTTGTGCTGAGCATAATAGATTATAAAACATACCTGACCACCAGCCAGTGTCGAGTCTTCTAAAATAATTAGTTCTTGGTGTGTGTTTTCTGTCGGTTGTAATAATTATGTTTAGCTATAGTTTATGAGTGAATCTGTGGCGCTGATTAGTTTCTTGTAGAGAAAAATGAATGAAAACAGCTCACTTGTTTAGTTGAATTTTAAAGTTGTTTACTCTCAAGAGTTCTTCACGCGGCAAGTCGATAGATCGAATGTTTCATATGAGGGAATAGAATATTCTAATTGCCACTGTTTTTAAAGTCTCCATTCAGTTTAATCATTAAAAATTGAAAAACTTTCATTGCATCTTACAAAACATGATCCAAAAAAGTAGTATTAAATATAACCTGTAAGAAATCAACGAGGTTTAAACACTATTGAATCTCTTCCCGCACTCAGAATGTTATTTGAGATGAAAAATTCTGTTTTTGAACAAACGCAGTATAAAAAAAATATTTTCTATCAATATAGTGGATTCCTCGAAAATCTATATTTACTCTGTACGCCAATTTTATTTTTGTATGATTTTAAAACACAATACAAGGGAATGGTACCCTTTCATTCTAAATTAATTCTGTGAAAGAGTAATTTTTTTAAACAGGACTGGTTTAATAACATTTTCATTTGTACAATAATGTCAATTTCTATGCTTTACTTAATATGCTTTTCATTGACTTTAACAGGAATGATTTAATAACATTTTCGTTTGTACAATAATGTCAATTTCTATAATTTACTTATTGCTTTTTCTTGATTTTAACAGGAATGGTTTAATAACATTGTCTTTTGTACAATAATGTCAATTTCTATGCTTTACTTATGCCTTTCCTTGATTTTAACAGGAATGTTTTAATAACATTTTCGTTTGTACAATTATGTTCATTTCTATGCTTTACTTGTTTGTGCTTTTCCTTGATCAATTCGCTTATATCAGTCTCTAGTCTAAGAAAACATTATTGCATGAGATTGTCCTATAGGTATTCATAGGGAAAACGCTAATAGCCCCTAATTTATTGCATATGCACAAATCCAGTATGGATTTGATCAATCACAATGCTAATCTATTTCCCTATAGCTTTTTTACTAGTTCCGCCTCTTTCCAGATGATGGATCGCTCAGTGTGTATCAGGGTCCAATATTTGTTAAGAGAACAGGTAAACATGACTGCTATTTCGATTACTTTTCATTTGTCTTTCATTGTTTACTGAAACCCTCATTGTGGATAATTACTCCCAATTTTTGTTCTTTGAAGAAAGAAGACAAATTACAACAGTTAATCTATTCATCAGAAGAATGTTTCTAGAGGTTTTAAAGCATCTCGAAAAGGTTAATATTTTAAATTGAAAATATGATGAAAGCCCAGGGGAAATCTTATGATCAATCTTTTGAAGCATAATCTGTTTTAACTATATGTACAAGATTACTTTCTGAGAGAGGGGGAGGGGAAACTAGAGTAGTAGAGTACATGAAATCGTGTTTGGGAATCAGCACAAAAAGTATTGCACATTCATTTCAAGAATGCTACTTAAATGCCTAAGCAAAAAATCGAACATCTTTCATCAAGAAACTTGTCATTTTATCACTGTATGGAAGATGCTGTTCGAAATTCTACTTGATTTTGATCACTAGCTATACTTTGGGTCATTCGAAATTTCTGTCTGCATATTTAGACCAAAAAAAAAAAAATCATTTATGTACGTTTTCTTACACATAATAAAACTGCTTTAACAAACATGAGACTTCTTCTTGTTACATTTAAAATTTACCATATTTCTGTGTCATTTTCCCCTCCTTAACACCGGCAACACGCGTTTTCATGCGTCTGATGGTTGTTTTTAGACCAAACATCCACTGAAATGGACCAATTTTTTGGATCATAGACTTAAGGATCATATCCTGTGTATTTTCAACTGTAGTTTTTGGTTTTCTCTATGAATGTTTTTTAAAGAAACAAAAATAGGATATACATTAATGTGATAAATAAACATTTGCTTACATTTTTAACACGGAGTACCCATTATTTTTTTTTACCATAAAGATGTGAATGAATTTTTTTTTCTTCAATCAATCCTTGTTTACTTGCGTTTACTTTCAATTACAAATTATGCATCAATACATTAGTGGGTGGGTTTGAATAGGGTGTGTGTTTGGAGGGTCAGTGCTATGACTAGCTGCGATGAAGATACTGCTGATTATCCATATTGTAAGCTGCTGGGTAAAATAACAACAGTCAAAGATGCAGATACTTTCTTTTTATCGATGTTTATGGATAATTATTTAAGGAACAAATTTTTAAATCTAAAGCTATCAACCATCATTTGAAAGTCATCATCAAAGAAAATTTTCGTACGTTTTTATTTTAAAATCAAAAGGATTCTACTTTAAAATTCTATTGTACAATCACTGCAAATTCTTAATTTTTGTATATCTTTGTAAGGAGCTCTTCTTCTAAAGGAGATCAATATAGTCTAAAAATGGCCACAACCACCCAGCCCTCAAAAAAATATATCAGAAAGTTGAAAATTTCTGCTTTTTACTCCTTTTTTATGATATATATTTTTTTTCAATTCGCAGTCAAAAGATATTAAACCTTCAGTTCAAACAGTGATAACTTATGACATTTTACTATGTACTTGTATTATTATATCATCTCTTATAATAAATTATTTATATTTTTCACAGTAAAAAATTGCTTCATGGCTTTTGTTTTTCCTTTTTCATATACAGGGGGAGACAGTTCGGCTCTGCTTTTTACTCGACTTCAAGGCTATGCATGAACTTTGTTAAATCAAAGATTGAATTTGAAATAGTGCTTAACTGTGATTTTTCTCTGTTGACCAATATCATATGAATATAGTGCCCTATTGATATGTTGAATAAAGGGTGTTGTTGTTGTGGAATTTGTTGACTGGGTTCATTTACTGAATACCTGGATTAAGTATTCATAATTTATAAAGTATTCTTTTATTTGATGTCTGTTTTGTTTTCTTAAATGACACTTAAAAAGAACTTTTGAAATAGTTTAAAGCTAAAAAGAGGCAAGATGTAATAAAGAAATCATCACTCACATCTACTTTTTTTCTTGTACAATTGTATATTTAAGAAATGCACATTTTTTAAATTATACTTCTTTGGAAGTTAGGTGAGTAGATTTGCATGTCTATCTCGTGAATTGTCGTGTCTGACGTCAGTGGACGGGGACAATTGAAATTGACATGGGAGGCTTCCTGTATTTCAAACGTATAGGACAGCATTTTTATATCTGTATGTACATTTTTTGAGATATAAATTAAATATATGGAATAGCTGTCTAATTTGTTGGGTATGCAAAGGACGTAAACGACAGTTGGAAACTTTGAGCTTTGCCCGTTATGCAAATTATTCCACGTTTCCAACTATGGTTGATGCCCAGGCATCCCAAACAAAATAGACGATGATTCCTTAAATCATCATAGCAAAAACACAAACTTCTTGAAAAGGCGAAGTAAGAGAAGTAAAGATCCTATTGTCAACCTGCACTATTTCAACATGTCACACCGTGCCCCCTACTTTTAACAAAATGATGGAGTACCACGGTAATACATAGTCATATTTAAAATAAATATACAGTGTATAGTGTAAAATATATCAGACAGAATTCCCTGTTGAGTACATGGGACATTAAAGGACAATAAAATTTGCAAAAATCTTACTTTTAATGGGATTGCGGAAATCTTTACAACAACGGTAGCGTGTCTCCCGTCTGAAAAGGCATGACTTTGTTCTATGTTTTTCATTATGAGTCATTGAAATATATCGAGTCGACATATGAATGAAAGGAACTCTGTTAACTGATAATACGTTCAAAATATACCGGGATATCTTGTATCTTACAGCAAGGGTTTGCTTTTTATGAATATTTTTTCCATATAAACTTTGATTTATAGAAGTATTTAAAAGAAATGATTGGCTAATAAAGGTGCACGATTAGTGCCATTGCATTTCCAACAGATGTAATATCCAAAGAGTAAATATTGTCAACCAGGAACTCCATCATCGTTTCAATAGCTTATTATACCCCCCGCTTGAAAAGTGGGGGTATATGGTAATCGGTATTTCCGTCCGTCCGTCCGTCCGTCTGTACGTCCGTCTGTCCGTGTTTACGAGAGTGCATTTATTGGGTATTTTTCATGCCAAGATTGTACTTATTGGGTACTTTTTGCTTATTGGGTATACCCAATAAGAAGTGTCGCTGAATATGCTTAAAACACCCTAATTGGGTATTTGCAGGTTAGTACCCAACAAAACTTGGACACGACGATTTGTCCAAAAAAGTGTCCAAAAAAGTTGCTTTCACGGACGCACCGTGTTTTGTGTTTCAGTTTTACATTCGGAACTCTAAATTCTCGAGAGTTCCGAAAATCAACTTCCGTTGATCCTGATCATAACAACGTTTGTTTTCATGGAAAAAAATATGGCGACT